CAAGAGAAAACCACTCGTTCTTGGACCGAAACTTAGCCTGAAAGACCTTTAGGAAAAGCATCCAGTAAGATACCAAAGATAGATTGGAACTCACTGCCCTGTTCTGCCCATGCAGCCGTTCCAAACCGTTCACAAACCCTAATTTGTGAAATGGCGGGCATGACAATCCGCGTTTCTTTCTCCCGAAGGAATCAGCCTCAGAACAATTTAACTCACCTGCATTTTTCAAGACAGCTTGAGATATCACAACAGGGGCCCCCAGCTGATGTTCAGATACACGTCTTATTTCTGACAGCAAAAGGGGGAAACATGTATTTCCCCACAAATTCCAATTATGGGGGCAGGTGGGTCCTCTGGCTCACCATCCAGCATTTTACTGATAGCACAAAAAAAGCAGAAACTAGAATGGGAGGGAGGGTATCCTCTTCTAGAAGGCAAAGCCACCTGAATCGCACTAAAGAATGTTCCTTTCTGCAGCCTAATTGCCTAAAAGGCATGACACAAAAGGAAGAAGGTACGCGGAGGGAAGAGGAAAAAAAAACACTGGGTTACTCATTTAAGTTTTAAAAAGGAGTGCTTAACTTTAAACATTATATCCTAGCTAACTTTGGGATCGGCAAGGATGCAAGAAGGCTAGGTACCTTTTTCACAGTGGTGGCCGTGGAACCCTGGAGGACAAAGACATTCCCCGGATCCCGGATTGCACGATGCTCCGTTTTGGCAGTCGCACTGTTCTTGGCATCCGACCCCGTGGAATCCAGCGGGGCAGGCTGAAGGGTGGGAACCAAAGGAAAGGGGTATCAGGTCCGTGAAAAAAGGCCATCTCACGTTGTTTTTGCCTGCCCAAAATGGCACTCTTGTCATGAAAACTAATAATTTTGAAGCTAATGTATTTTGGATGGGAAAAATTGGAATATTGCATATACATGCATGTATAGATTCATTCCAAATATGCAGCCTTTTGAGCTTTTCGGGGGGGGAGGACTGCAGAGTCCAGCTTTGTGACCCCAAATTCTTCAGATTACTACATTTCCTTGGATGCAAATCCCCGTGAAGTGGGAAAATCCCCCTTCCAAGTCAAATGTGAACCAAAGTCCAGAACCACTGGACTCCCATAATGGTGATCCAGCACAGCCAAGCCTAGCTGGGAATTATGGGGATCGGAGCCAAAAACTGCTGGCGGCCACAAGATTGGAGAAGGCCAGCTGGGAGTCACATCCGGAGCCGGCACGAAAATCGGAAGCAGGTTCAAAACCCGGACGGACGTTGGCACAAAAATGACTCCGCTTTCGAACACGAGTGCGAGGAAAGTTGGTGCTGGGAGCCTCTTCCCTGAGTGTGCCGTACTCGAGATCCCAAATACTTGATGAGATCGCTCCCACACACCCTGCCGTACTTGAGCATGGGAATCCCCGAACCCGGTGTTCCCTGATAGGCCATCCCCTGAAATCAATCTATCCCGTCACAGCCAATCAGCTGCTCTGCTGCACGCAGCAGTGGCTGTCCTGCATGGGGGGCTCTGATGCAACGCTCTGGCCTCTGCCCCTCTCCGCCTCGTCCTTTCGAGGGTTTCCCAAACCGTCTCGTGCATGATTGTCGCGGACTTACTGTGCTCACACCGGCTCCCGTAACGGCCTTTCCCGCACTGGCAGGCCCCCGTGACCGGATCGCAGGTCCCGTTGCTTTGGCAAGTGCAGTTCAGCTGACAGTTGGCCCCATATTTCCCTGAGGAGCATCCTGCAGGGAGCACTCTGGTTTACATTACACAGCCTCTCTCCGTGCTTTGAAAACATCCCGTATTCCCTGATAGGCTAGCTGTCCATGGGCAGGATTTTTTTTTAAAAAAAAAAGTGTGAACCAACATCATTTAGAGGAGGAGTCCAAATCATTTGCCAAATGGTGCCCTACAGGGCCTCTTCGATCCTGTCTGTCTGCCTCCCTGGCAGCTTAGATTTCTACATGCAAGGAGGAAACCCTTCCTTCGCCACACAAGAACCGCTCTATGTGTGATTGCCCCGCGGTCACGTCATGCCCAGTCCTGCACCTTAGGGTGAGACTGAAAGTCCTTATCCTAAGAAAAGGGGGAAAAATTGAGACTGAATTTGAAATGCCCAAAAAGGGGACTGTGTTCCCCCCCGCCCCCCCGTACAACTGGCCTTTTAGAACCTGTATGTCAGGTTCACACAGCATCCTTCCAGAAATTTTAAATTATGGATATTATTAGATTTCCTAGCCTACGAATGGAGCCAGGAAGCGGGTCGTCCAGCAGAACTCCAGGAGACTGGAGGGTCTTTCACCAGCCGAGCCGGGACTCGTCCTCGTTGTCTCGCAGGCAGGAGAAATACCTGTTTCGCAAAAGACCCCGGTCCAGCCGAGCCTACAGAGGCAGGATCCATCTTCCGGCAGGCAGATTCCTCCATTTCGGCAGGCGCAGGTCTGGCGGCAGTCGGAGCCGTAACGGTTTGGGGGGCACCCTGTTGGAGAAGCCACCAAGACAGGCTGAGCCCCAGAGGCACAGGTCGGGTACAGCTGCCAGCTGATGCAAACCCCAGCTGAACTGGCAGCAGCATCTAAGGAGCCGAAGGGGCCCGTGGGGTCATCCAGTCTGACCCTCCTACGGGAAGCCAAATTAAAGCACCTGAGCCAATCGTGCACCCCTCCAATCTTCCTGCTTAAAATGTTCCTTTTTGCCCCCAAAGTTTCATTTAAGTGAAGCCACCTAGAGCGAATCTGAGGGTCCGCGTAGCTTCCTAGCTGCGATCTCGTGTCTTTATTTTTGTGTGTGGAGTAACAAACAAAACACTTACAAAGTGTTCTGCTGGTTGTGCAAAACTTTTTTTTTTTTTGCAGCAGGAGCAGCAGCAGCCCGTGCCTGTTAATTTATTGCAGATATAAAGACGAAGCACTTGCAGCTAATCACCACAACGTCCCTGCGAGGCGGGCTGGGCTGGGACAGAGAGCCACACCCCCAAGCCCCAAAGTTTGGAACCTTATTTCCCTCGTTCCTTGTCTGTATATCAAAACACTCGGCTCCCATCAACTGCTGCTGCTGTTCACGACGATCCTGCAAGATAGGCCTTAGGAAGTAGTGGCAACCGTGGGATCTCACCCACAGCCCTGTGAGGTAGGCCAGGCCATGCAATTTCCCCACACTGGCTTTTCAAGCTGGAAGGGCCCTTCCCCATCACAGTGCATATTATGGGATGCGATCCCGCGCTCCCCAGAAGGGTGGCACGTAAAATGAAGCGACTCACCGTTTTCACATCTGGGACCGGTTTTGCCCGGTGGGCAAAGGCAGGAACCGGACACGGGGTGACAGGTGGCATTTACGGCGCAGGGACACCGAAGGGCACAGTCAGGGCCGTAGCGTCCCCTTGGGCAAGCTGGGGGGGAGGAAAAGTCCACAGTGCCCCTTAGTTGGCCTGTCAAATGCCACGGGGGGACGTTCGCCCCCAGCCGTCCCATCGCATTCATGCCGGTGGTGGTGCCCGAAGCAGGCAAACTGTCCCTGGCTTGTAGGCCAAGGCACCAAGGAAAACCAATAAAATAAAATAAAAGAATAAATAAATAAATGAATAAATAAATAAAGCTGATGAAGCCCAGCAAAATAAGTCAAATAACAAAAGCAAAAAAGGAAAACACAACAGTAAATGAAACAAAGAAAGCAATCAAGGCAAATAACGAAACGGCAAAATATATACAGCAAGGAAAACGAAACAAAGCAATAAAGTTACGCCAATCAAAATAAAACCGGAAGCGCAACCGCACGATCCAGCGGCGCAAGAAAGGAATAAAGAAAGATGCTAAAATCAGATCAATGAAATCAAGCAAACCAAGAAAATAATAAGTAAAATACTGAGACGAGAGAAACGCACTAATGAGTAATGAGACGATACATAAAGAAAGCAAAACCATAAAGAAGCAGAACCGACGGAAGGACGGGGCGATGGGGCCTCTTGAGACGGAAAGGTGATGCATTTCAAAACTTCCGCCAAAATGCAGATACAGAAAACGAACCAAGAGGAAGCCAGCGAGAAGCTGTTCGGACGCGGTCCTCCGATTAAAAGAGGAACAATCCTTAGCTGATGCCACCACGAAAAAGTGCCCGTTCCAGCACTGGGTTCGCCGTCGCAGCCCACATAAAACGGGTGGGCACCGTGCCATCTTGACTGTTTCGAAACGCCTGCTGGGCCCTTCTTCTTTCCACGCGCCTAATCTTGCGTTCCCAACAATCCTCTATTTTTCTGGCAGGCTTATAAAAGAAGACAAGCCTGCCTGTGACCACCTTACAGCCTTTGGGGTAGGTCAGTCTGTTTCTACGTGCACCGCTCACCATAAGGAAGTAGCCTGCTTACCTATGCTACAGTCCGCTCCGATGTATCCAGCTGGGCACCGGCACGCCCCTGTCGTGGTCACACACTGTCCTCCATTCTTGCACCCGCACGCCCTCTCGCAATTCGGCCCGTAGCGCCCCGACGGACATTCTGAAAGGACGTAACCCGAGTTATGAAAAGAAGCTGTTAGCCAGCGGAACAGGCTGCCACGTGATCTAGTGGGTTCCCCTTCTCTGGCAGTCAGAGGTGCTCCTGTGGATCCAGGGGGCTGGACCGGATGACCTCTGAGATCTTCCCCACCTCTAGGACTCTCTGAATTTTTTCCAAAAAAGCCTTCCAATTATTGGAGGACAATTAGAGGGGGGCCATTGCAGAAGACCTCCTCACGTCGAAGAAAATGCTCCAAGTCTCGAAGGGTTTAATCAGGGGTTAATCTTGGAAACGTTTTACAGCTGGTTGAAACTGGGAACTGTATAATCCTTTTTTTTTTTAAGAGGGGACCCCCTTCCACCGGCTTTCAC